ACTCAAGGTTCTCTGTTTACAGGGTGGGCGCGGGGCTGTCCCTGCGGAGCGAGTGCCTTGTCTCTCTGGAGGTGGATGGGAGGAAGGTCAATGGATACTGGGACAGAGGCGCTGAGGTGACGCTGGCCCGGCCCGAGGTGGTGGCCCCAGATTGGATGGTGCCCAATACCTACCTGACCCTGACAGGTGTGGGCAGGACCCCATTCAAGGTGCCCGTGGTGAGGGTACATCTGAAATGGGGGGACCAGGAGGGCCTCAAGGATGTGGTGTTGCACCACCATTTGCCCACTGAGGAGTTGATGGGGGGTGACCTGGCGGATTGGCCGGGCGGTCCCCAGACCACCCTAGTTGTGACCCGTAGCCAGAGCCGCTCAGGGGCACTACGCCCTGACATTGGGGAGGGTACCTCACTGGAGGGACAGGACCCTACCCTGGTGGGGAGGGAGCGCCCAGGGACATGGCTCAGGGAGGCTGCAGCTTCAGACCCAGCCGGCGACAGGGAGCAGGCCCCCATCCCCTCCCCAGCCGCTGAGTTCCAGGCCGAGTTGCAGAAAGATCCCTCCTTGCGGAAGCTAAGGGACCTGGCCGACCTCAGTGCAGCACAGACCATGAGGAGAGGTTGCCGGGAGGGGTTCCTGTGGGAGAAGGGATTCCTGTACCGAGAATGGGCTCCCCCCAGGGGAAGTGGAGTCGTGGGCAATCCAGAGGCAGCTGGTGGTCCCCCAGAAGTATCGCCGCCAGCTACTGTACCTGGCCCATGACACCCCTCTCGCAGGGCACCAGGAATCCGGCGCACCCAGCAGAGGCTGCTACAGAACTTTTACTGGCCCGGGGTCTTTACTACTGTCCAACAGTAAACCAGTAAAACTCCCATGCAACATTACCAGGTCAATACTCCCCACTCCGTCACATGTGTGTGCGTGTGTTTGTGTGCGTGTGTTTGTGTTTGTGTTCACACATGAAGGCTTAAAGAAAATAGATCTTCAGTGAAAAATAGTTTCATAGGCATTTTTTGATAAAGTAGAAAATAAAGCGGATGATGACTGGAAAAATACCAGAAAAGAGAGAGTTTTAAAAGTGCTCTAGTGACAAAAAATGTTTGTGTGCTTCTTTTTAACATAAAGGAATGACATTTTTAGGAAAATAAGGGTTCTGCGTGTTTCAAAAGACTGGTATTAGAGATGAGATTTTTAGAAAAAAGCAAGCATGATGCATTTTTTTAAATAAGAATATCAAATATTGGGGGGGTTAAACAAAGTAAGTGTTCTGCATTTTTAACATTAGTTTATAGAGCAAATGGGTTTTATACCTGTAGGTTATTTTGAAGCAGAGTTGGAAAGGTAACCATGTGCGCTTTGAAAGACGCATGCGTGTCTTTTTCTCGAGAAAACCAATGAGACGGGAAGTGAGAGGGAGCAGCCGAGACAAGCGAAAACCTGTCACGGAAAGAGGAAAAATGAAAGGGAGAGAAAGTTTTCAAGCAGCAAGAAAGCCGGGTCGCTGAGCACATGGCAGAGAGAGGTCAGAAGGGCAGCGTACCGGGCCCCACGGCTGGGCCGGTCAGAAGCTGTTCTGTAGCGAAATTGGAAAAACGGGGGCACTTTTTTTTTTGCAGGGCAGGGGTATAGTTACCTATATAAGACAAAGCCCCTGATATCGGATGTCTGGTCGCCCTTGTTGGGCTGAAGGAATGAAAAGACAGTCAGTATGCACTGCAAGGTTGGGTAAACGTACGCCAGCCTCCGCTGACGCAGCGTTCGCTGGCTTTTGAAAGCTTGGCCTAAAGGAAAACTGCTGTCAAGAAATCTTTCTAGAAAACAAACACGGAGGCTAACTTCTAAGACAAACTAGCTCGTGTTCCCGCTTCTGACCCAAGCAGTGTATGTCCCCCCCCCAACACACGCGCCTTTGCTCTTTTCCTTCATGAACGGGTTTTTCAAACCTAACCACGTTAAAGACGTGAAGGTTTAACAAACAAACCAACTTCTAAGCCACCAACCGAAAGGCCACGGGTGTAGATGTGTGTGCGACGTTTATGTAAATTAGGCAAACATCCTTTTTGTGTTTTGTGAAATTACCTCTGGGCATGGGCGTGAAAAATGGCCGAAAGGAAAGTTACATTTAACCTTTATATCCAGCTCCCCTCTTCCCTCTACTTAAAGGAACGTAGTTTTTGAGCCGTGTCCATTTATTGGAAATTAGCTATTGTTGACTTTTGCTGTAAGGAGACATTTGAATTGCAAGTCGGTGACGCCGGTAAACAGGATACCCTTGGGACAGCGCAGAGATTTGGGGGCAAATCCAATAGTCCCAGGGCTTACCCTTCTTATCTGAAGCGGTTACCTGGTGCAGCGAAAACAATTGTTTGGTTAGAAATAAAGCACTTTTATATCGGAGCTAAACACACCTCAGGGAAGCAGTGATGGGCAACAGAGGAACCTGAGGGATAGCTCAGTGGTTTGAGCGTTGGCCTGCTAAACCCAGGGCTATGAGTTCAATCCTCAAGGGGGCTGTTTAGGGAACTGGGGTAAAAATCTGTCTGGGGATTGGTCCTGCTGTGAGCAGGGGGTGGGACTAGATGACCTCCTGAGGTCCCTTCCAACCCTGAGATTCTATGATTCTCTCTGCCCTGACGCCAACCTTTTCTAACTGTACAAAGCACCAGATCCCCACAACCCCCCACACTGATCTGAAGAAATAGCCCCAAGAACCCCCTACCCCAACTTTCCCCGTTAGCGTGTTCTTCCGCTGACGGACGGGTTCTAAGCATATCAACGGTTCACACAGAAAAGCAGCACTGGGCATTCGCAACCGAGGCGACGGAACGACAAGGCCCATTCCTGGGGCGCAGGGCGGAAGTTGAATGAAATAACAATGTCGAAGCGCCGCTGTCGGAGCCTTTTCAGATGTTTGGAGGAACCAAACCAAAGCTGTTCTGTGGGTGAGCTGCCAGGCACGAGCCGAAAACCCTCCGCAGGGAAACGTTATTTACCAACGCAGGGAAATGGCACTGGAGATACAAACAGATGTCAATAAACAACTTCATGTTTAAAGCCGCCTGAAGGAGCCTGTTTTGCCTAACCCAATTGCCCAGAACACAAAAACCAACCAACCAAAAACTGGCTCTGCTTGTAAATTGCAAAGAAAGCTGCGAAATCCGGGGGACGGTAAAACCCCCACAACCGGGGCTGTTTTTACAGTGACAAGATACAAACTTGCCTTTGCGGCCGCGTGAAATTCGGCTGCGGACGCGGTTGCCTGAAGAAACGGCTCCAAGCACATGCCGACTTTTGGTCACTGTCAAAACCGGCGTCTTCTCCGTGTTCTTTTTGCTAAACGCGCCACTTTGACTCATAGCAAATCAAGCGGGTTTTTCATTTTTTAAGGGTTTAACAGGCACAGCAGGCCAGAGGGAAAAGGGAGCTGGCGTGAAGATATTCTCATCCCGGTTACGAGGCATTGTCTCTCCCAGACAAGACAATCAGAAATCGTCAATAAATCAGATTAACCAAAGCATCGGGGCATCGAACACTTGCCGAGATTTTCTAGCAGCACCTGCAAAGCAACAACGGCTTTTGTGTGTTGGTTTATTACATTGTCTGGACACACTAGAGAATTGTTTGCTGTTGTTTTTCTACAACACTTGATGTGGTACTTTTATCCAACAGTGTTTTGAAGCATTGGCCCTAAACTATTCGCTCTGAAAGTCTCACACAACCGTCGAATACAAGAGGACCAATGGTTGGAACATGCCTGTTGACTAAAGACAGACACGCCGAATGTCACCCTGCACTGAAACCAAGAGGCCGTCAGTCTGCGAGCGCTACGTTATAACTATCCACGAAAAGGTATTCTACAAGAAATGGCGACTGGTCGCACCAACGTGGCATAGTGACCCTACATTGGCGTAGGACCCGGCAAGCTTGGTGGCTATGGATGACCCTCTGGAAAACAATCACAAATCTCACAACAGTATGTACATTTTTTAACTGGCAACCTCACTTGACGTTCGGTGAACTGGAAGAGTCTCCAAAGTCAACACTCGTACGTCTGGAAAGAAACCGTTGAGCCAGTCCAAAGCCAGCTGGTTTATGAGGGAAGGCGACATGTTTGCTGCCGTATGAGCTTCCGCTTTTAGTTGGTTGGCCAAAGCCATGGAGAAGTAGTTGACTATGATTAAAAGGAGGCCTCCTGATACAGATAAAACGTACAGGGTCTTCCTTCGTATCGGTAAACGCTGGCTTATTTTGATTTTCCCAGTCCTGAACTGTAGCTGTAGGAAGAACTTTGCTACACAAGCACAGCCGAGGCGAAAGGAAACCCACCACGTTTCCCGGTTGGCCGTAGCGTTGGTGCGGAAATTCAGCGCCGAATGAATAACCACAAAGGCAATGAACCAGCCCGTCTGGTGCCTCAGCCCTTTCGGCGATTCCGCATGAACGGGACCAACGGTCACCAGAAGGGGCATGGAAACGCTCGTGGAAATGCCAGCGCCATCCCTGGGCTCCGGAGGCGAAATGGTTGAGCCGTCGAGTTGAGTTGGTAACACGAGAACTCAACAGCTTTGTGCAGGCAGAGCCGGGCGAGGGACCGAGAGAAGGTGGAAGGAGGCGGAGGAGGAGTGTCTGTGATGGGGTGGGGGCCGCGCTCTGCAACACACAGCCCCCCTTTGCGGGAACAGGGTGGGGACATAACCTGGGAGGGCAGGATTCCAGTTAGGCCCCGCCCCTTCTACACACCTACTATAGCCCCCCCGTCCTCTCCATCTCATTAAAGACCCTTCCCCTGCCCCCATTATACACCCCCCGCCCTTTCCCCTTCCGTCCCCTCCCCCTGCAGCCCTGATAGAGACCCCCTGCCCCCTCCTTCCCCTGCCCCCATTAGAGACCCCCTGCCCCCTCCTTCCCCTCCCCCTGCAGCCGTGATAGAGACCCCCGTCCCCTCCTTCCCCTCCCCCATTAGAGACCCCTGCCGCTCCCCACAAACGAAGGATGCAGACAGAGGATGCAGCAACAATTTATCAAGTCTAGAACACAGAGAGATGGGGTAAGGGGGGAAATGGCAGGGGGTCCCCGTGCCCCCCAATACTCAGCCCCCCTCCCCACATGGGGGTCCATCCCCCCAAATCCACCACCGCAGCATGCCTAAATCTCCCCTTCTTCTCCCACCCCACCGCTGTCCCCCAAAATTGCCCACACCCCTCCTCCCAGATGTGTATCCCAGTACTTCCCTCGTGCTCACTCCCTGCCCCCATCCACTCCTTGGGTCCCCCCTTCCTTCCCCCATCCCCAAAACTCCCCTGCCTCTCTCTCCCCAAAGGAAACCCCCCATACAGGTCACCCCAGCACCCTGCCCCCCAAAAGCTGATCCACTGGCTCTCTCCAGTCCCCCCCAAATCTTGCTCTCCCACTTCCCTTTAGTGCCACCAAGAATTCCTGCCACCCAAACCTGCTTCTCTCCCAGACCCCCCCCGAGGAGTGCACCCCAATAGCCAATGAGGGCTCGCCCATCCATCCGTCCATCAGGCCATCTGTGTTCTGAGGCTCAGAGGCGGGAGGGGGCGCCCCCGCCCACCACCACGGTCTCCCCAGTGATGTAGCTTGCGTCGGGGGAGCACAAGAAGGAGACAATCCCAGCACAGTCAGACGGGACCCCCATCCTGGGGAGAAGAGACAGGGTGAGCCCGGGGGGAGGTGACTGGGGGGGGCGTGTGGATGGATGGAGGGGTGTGTATGGGGGTGGATGGATGGATGGATGGATGGGGAGGTGGATGGAGGGATGGATGGAGGGAGGGGTGTGTACGGGGATGGATGGATAGATGGAGGGAGGTGTATGGGGATGGATGGATGGGTGTGTGTGTATGGGGATGGATGGATGGAGGGAGGGGTGGATTGATGGATGGAGGGGTGCATATGGGGATGGATGGAGGGATGGAGAGGTGGATGGATGGAGAGAGGGTGTGTATGAGGATGGAGGGAGGGTGGATGGATGGATGGAGGGAGGGAGGGCTGTGTATGGGGATGGATGGATGGGGGGATGGAGGGATGGATGGAGGGAGGGGTGTGTATGGGGATGGATGGAGGGGTGTACAGGGATGGACGGATAGATGGAGGGAGGTGTATGGGGATGGATGGATGGAGGGAGGGGAGGGGTGGATTGATGGATGGAGGGATGGATGGAGAGGTGGATGGATGGAGAGGTGGATGGATGGAGAGAGGGGTGTGTATGGGGATGGG